CTGTTGGTTTTAGCGTGATCATTTCGTGAATTCTAAAAAAAAAAAAAAAAACAATACTCGTGATTTTACAGTGAGAAGCTAATTGTCAATAAACCGAAGCTTTTTTGTTTAGAATTTTTTCACTTTTGAAGAAATATAAACTACAGTTGAACTCGACAAAGTTGTGACGAATCGCAAGCGCAACCGTCATGTAATTTTGCGTGGATGATTTTTCCTTCGAGTACTAAAAAATGCTTCAGTCAACCAAAGAATGATTGTCGTCTTCGTTGCGTCGAGACATTTACCTCGGCCCAGATCTTCTCGTTAGCACTCGCGCAGTGTTACATTTCTATGGCATATATTATGTTCAACCTTACAAGGAAACAGCCCCAATTTCCAGCGCGCGCATCCACGATTTTCTCCGCGTGACCGATTTCTTTTCCTCATTTGCACTCTTTGCGCAATCGTTGAATATTTAATTAAAGAAAAAGGACGAGAAAAAATGAAACGCAGAAACTGCGATTGCCACAAATAAGCGGTGCGCGCGTGACGATGAGCCTCGTGGCTCGCGTGATATATCGCACACACACACACCTTGATAAGGTGTTGTGGTCGGCAATTGTCATGTTTTCCTCTTCTTTTTTTCTCTCGTCCTCTTGCTCTAATGGGTCGTAAAATAAATGTATACGAGTGCGCATCGTCGCACCGACTGCATAATACATTTATAACACAATTACACTGCCGTGCCACACGCAGCTCACGCTTTTATACATTATTATAACAATATGTACAGTGTAGCGCGTATTCGGTTTGTGCAGCACTTGACAGCTCGGCTAATATAATGTGAGTCATGCCTCCACGTGACTCGCGCGTCAACTCTCCGTCATAATAAATATATACTGTATGAATATTCATATCACCGGTACTTACAAGGAAGATCTTCTGATTGAAAATTGCGGCTGAACTAATATTTTTTTTAATAAGTGACGCAGAAAATGAAGAATAGCCCTCCGATCTAAAAAAAGTTAAAATAGGCAAAAGTAGTTTAGAATGGTATGATTCTGGTACAAAACTAACGCAAAACAGCATTATAATAACACCTCTGTATGATAACATCGAGAAAATTTGGCAAATTTTTGAAATCGATAAACCACCCTTTTGATTATTGACACATATTAATGACTAATTGAGCCTCATTCCTAATATCCCGTGTTTAACACCATTACTGTATCAGTGTAGATTCTGAGTTACATTTTTCTTTTTCGCGCGAATGTTTTGTCATATTCATAACACGTATGAGAGAGCCAAATTTGCGCCTGTATAAATGGCATTTTCACTGTATTTTCGGAGTAGTTTTAACAGCATGTGACTTATACCTCTAAGTATACTGCTGCGTACTGCAAGTTGGTAGTAGAGGGGGGAAATGTCGCCTAGGAGCTATCATAATCACGGGGTCACTTCGCTAACATATAAGTACAGTGAGTTCAGCCGCTTATTAAGGGGACCGACCTGTGTTAAAAGCTTAAATTCAGCTTCAGCTAAAAATAGCTATATGAATCGGAATAGTGGAAATTTTTTTTTTGTGATAGTAAAATATGTTCATTCTACACCAGATTGACCAAAAACAACTTCTATCCAAGCTCTAAAATACCAATTACATCACTTTTTTCATAAGACGAAATATTGTGTTATAAATCACTTGCCGCATGATCTTGAAAAGAGTTTTTCATCAATATTGATCTATGGGGTCTCAAAATCTTCAGAAAAGTACTCTCGTCCACCTAAGCGGAGCAGAATTTTGAAAAATTGCATACAACTTTATATACACGTCAAAATGTGCCAATTTTTGAGAAAATTAGTATTTTATCAACACTAGAAGCCATATTAAAGCTCTTGGAAGAAAAACAAACTTTTTTTTTCAAATTCTGCTCCGCTTAAGTGGATGAGGTTACTTTTCTGAAGATTTTGAGACCCCATAGATCAATATTGATGAAAAGCTCACGTCAGAATCGCGTGGCAAGTGAATCCTATTATAATATTTAGTATTATGAAAAAATAAGCGTAATTGACATTTCAGAGCTTGGATAGAAGTTTTTTTTGGTCAATCAGGTGTCTAATAAACATATTTTATGATCACAAAAAAAAAATTTCCACTATTTCGATTTATATAGCTATTTTTTGAATTTAAGCTTTTAACACAGGTCGGTCCCCTTAAGATAAGTTCCTGCAGCAAACAAGTGTTTACAAATTAGTAAATTCGAGGTACGATGTAGCCTATTCTACGTGTATAACCTCGAACATATTTTCGGTATGAGCCGTGAAAGTACATTGAATCAAGAGAGTGATGGAAAACAGCGGCGATATACTGAGGTACGGCCTTTTTCTGCAGTCCATGATTTTTTTTGAAGTTATTGCTTGATTAAATAAGATTATTATATAGGGTGAAAAAAGAGACAGAAGAAACTTGGCCGGATGGAGGTGATGATAATATTTTCAATTACGTAAACTCTTGCAAAGCCAAAAACTTTGAAACATTCCCGCTTTATAAATCATCAGGTGTATTATCTTCTAATTTTCCGCTATCGAAAATTTCTATACAGTTTCAATTTTAGGCAAATCTCATGAATGAGGTTATGGAGTTACAAGAAAAGTCAGATGAACAAATATTCATAGATTTGGAGTGCCAAGATGTTAAACTTGAACTGAAGTATCTATCGACAACAGTATGCAAATCTGAGTATCAACATTTTCAACTCATTGTGGATATAAAAAACGAAAATCAGAACAATGATGTAGATGGAAATATGTTCAAAGATTTTGAGTGCAAGGATCTTATAATCGATCTGAAGACGTTATCAACAACCATCTACAAAACTGAGTATTCATCTATTGTTAAAATAGAAAACCAAATTCAGAGTAATCATTTGAATGGGAACGATCCGATAATTTTGATAAAAAAAGATTTCGATTACCATAATAAATGCAAATTTCAAGTCTGTTCCCGGTTGAAATTTGACGAACGTGAAGAGGTGAGCAAATTAAAAAAAAAAACTCAAACCAAATTATCGAATGAGCAAAAAATGTGTCACCAGATTTATACGGGAGAAGTGAGTCTAAATTGCACATAGCAATATAACACATCATGGCCTTAGACCATATGAATATGAGATGTTCGACAATTCATTAGAATACCAAAATAAACTTAAGGATGATGTCAATGCAGTAAATGTTCGGAGTAAACCCTTCGAATGTGAGATTTGCCACAAATTATTTGGACTAAAACAACATCTTAAATCTCACATAAGTGCAGTACATAATCGGATTAAACCCTTTGAATGCGATATTTGTCGCAAATCATTTGGACAAAAAGGTATTCTCAAACGTAATGTCAATGCAATACATAACCAGAGCAAACCCTTTGAATGTGACATTTGCCACAAATCATTTTGACAAAAACAACATCTTAAATCTCACATAGAGCGGTCGATGGGTCAGTGAGTAGCGTGCTAGTCTCGGAAACATCACCGCTCAAGGGGTCGTAGGTTCGATTCCTGACGAGTACATTTTCGGACTTTTTCGAAAAAGGTATTCGGCGGGAAGAGTACCTACAGGCTCCGCTGTCTCGGGGCGGGGTTTTCCCTACAGGTGTACCTCCAGTGCGAATCCACTGGTACACCGTACACTGGTACAAGGTTTTTCCTTGCCCCTCAGGTCCCGTGACCTGGGCGAATGCGAGGCAGTTTTGGGGCTTATAGGCCTAACCAAGAAAGTTGGCTCGACTTAGGGCCTTCTGAAGGGGCTGGCCTGGTTGCCATATCCACATAAAAAAAAAACTCACATAAGTGTTATACACGATCAGAGCAAATTCGCAGGGTCGTTCGCTTGCCATAAAGCTTTTAATCCTTTCTTTGAACCATTCATCGTATTGCAGCCATCGAACGATATTGCATACACATTGCTTGGTGGAATATTTGCCTTTTCAAATGAAAGTTCAATGCACTTTAATATTTGTTTGGCACTGGATGAAGCTTTACTGCCTTTTTCGAAAATTGGTACGAGCTCCCAAAATAACGTTTCGACCTTACCACTATTAAAATTCGGCAGTCTTACTTCGATCGATAGTACGTGCTCTTTCGAAATGCATGTTGACTCGTCGATGCTTATGGTGAATAAATTTTTGCGCAATTTATCCGCTATATTGTTTTGAGCAGATTTCCCTAAAACATTTTTCGATATCGCTTGGCAACGTGTAGCGGAAAGCTTTGTTTTACCTAACACAGAATTTTGGTTTTCACTTTTCACAACATTGAAAAAACGTTTTGATATTCCGTTAATGTTTTTCGTAAGAATAATGAATTCTGCGGCCATTGCGATTATTTGGAGTTCTGCTCTAGCACGATTCAAATTTTCTGTACAAACGGATGGCTCCAAAAAATTTGCATCACTTGGAATTGTCAAGTCACCTATAGCACGTCGATGATGTAGACTTAAAGCATGATCTTTCCAAGTGTCTTTCCGTGTCTGCATTTCCTTATCACCACAATATGTACAAATTGCAATCGACGGATTAGATTCACTACGTGCAATCCATTTTTTGAATGCTGGTACATGTAACCAAGATAATTTAAATTGTCTCCGGGGAGTTTTGACTTTCTTTTTGGCGACAAAACTCATATTGGATGTAAATTTAAATTACTGTAAAAAAGAAACTTATACTTTGTATGATGAGATTAAAATGCTCAAAAAACGAAAAATATTTGTTGTAATATCCGATGTTCACACATACGGAGTCGAACTCAAACTGACACTACAAATAATATTTAATGTTTAATATTCATTTAGTTAAGGCTAAGGACTTAAGTCCAACGTAGCCCAAGGCAACAATACAGTCTCCCGGTCAGCAACGTGAGACACGGGTACGAATATCGCATACATTAATAATTACAAAAATAAAAGAAAGAGAAATAAGAAAAAAAACAAAGAGAATATAAATAAAAAGACAACAAGTAAACACTGACAGGCTAACTGCCACTCTGGAGGTCCAGCAAGTACCTACGAAGGCCGGCAACAAAACCATGCCGCTGAAACCCTTCACGGAGTCCCAACGGCAGCGAGTTCCAGAGCCGGGCCCCTCCAATGGCGAAGGACATCTGCCCACGGGTCGTCGCCGCGCTAGATACAGACAAGCAGAGACCATCCGTCCGCGTCTCTCTCTCCGCCACAGCCGAGTGAAGCACAAGACTGCGCGTCAGATACTCCGGCTCCACGGACCTCAAGACAGCGGCGATAAGGGAGACGCAGGTGTATTTGATCCTGGATCGATATTTAAGGATGTTATTGCTGATATAGTCAGGTGCTATATGCTCCCATCTCTTTCGTCCAGTAAAAAAGCGCACTGCAGCATTCATGCATCTGGACATCCTGTCCATCTGCTCTTCAGACATGTCCAGAAATAATGCCGAGCAGTAGTCAAAGTGAGGAAAGACCAGGGCCTTCACGAGCATTTTCCTGATGTCCGGTGCAAGGAAATCTCCACACCTCCTCAAGCGCGACAACGCTGCAAAGGCTTTACCAGTGGCCGCCGCCACATGCCACCGCCACGTCAGCGCACAATCGAGCGTCACGCCAAGCAGCCTCAGTCTGTCCACTGCTGTGGGGCGAGATATCAGCGTTGGCTAGCTTGTTGGTGAAATATCGACTACCAAGCCAGATGGCCCGCGTCTTGCCAGAGTTAATAGCAAGATGAGAGGCACGGGCCCAAGCCTCAAAGCGCCTCAGGTCCTCCGAGACCATCCGCACAAGCTCTTGTGCTCTCGCAAAGGGTCCATGCAGATAGATGGTGGTGTCATCGGCGTACACATGATGACGACAGTGCACGAGGGACCGCGGAGCGCCGTTGGCATACAGGGCGTACAAGAGAGGCCCGAGGACACTCCCCTGCGGTACCCCAGAAGTCCTCCCGAGGGACGCAGAGACGGTTCCATCGTCCCCCACAACATGCTGCGTGTGTCGAGTCAGGTAGGAGCGGGTCCAGTCGCATGCCATGTTCGACCATCCAAAGGCTCCAAGTCTGTCGATCAACACATCGAAGTCGACCATATCAAAGGCCTTCGACAGATCGACTGCAACAAGAAGCGTGACGTGGCCCACATCCACGGCAGCCCGGACATCGTCCAGCACACGAAGAAGCGCCGTCTGGGTGCTGTGTCCTCTTTCAATTTTACAATTGAAATGTACAATTAAATTTTAAAAATAGTATTATAATTGTAATGTAATTCAATGTAATTCAATTTTCTAATACTAGATGTTTCAAACGCGCTTCGCGCGCGTCAATTTTTTCATTCGTGTTTTGAGGTTAGTTTAAGATTCAGAAATAGTAAATTTCAAACGCGCTTCGCGCACGTCAATTTTATCATTAGTTTTTTGAGGTTACTTAAGTACCAACTGTCCGTTGACAGTTGACAGTCTGTTGTCAGTGCCTCAGCTTTCTGATGGCGGGGTCAAATTTCCCGAAATTTTCAGTTTTACCGGGGAAAATCGCTGGAAAAACTTCAAGCTTAGAAGTATTCGTATTTATTAGAAAATAATAAAGAAAAAAAAATTGATTGATTGCAGAAAAACTGAAAATTTGAAATAATCTCAAGTTAAGCCACTATGTATCTGAAAAAATCTGATAAGAAGCTATTTGACTGTCGTATGACCGTCGACTAACGTAACTGTAAATCTACTTTTGGCATTTTTTTGGTATTTTGTTATGCGGAAAAATCGATATCACAATAAAGCAGACGTTCCAACGACTTCAGTAGCATACAAGCCAAATTAGGGCTTAGAATCTCTACAGATTGATAGGTAAGAAAATTATTAATGTTTTTTTTTAAATTAATTTTTTTATTTGAACATCATGATAATCTGGATCATTAAATAACATGATATATTAAAAATAATCACAAATATGTTTCTTCATGAGCTTCGGCCTGCAGCTGCCAAGCAAATATTATATAAATCGTGGTTATTCAGGTCCTCGATGATCATATCGCAGCAGAGAACCGGCAATCGGTAGTGTACCAGTTCCATGAAACATTCCAGGGCCCAGCCCAGGAAAAATCGCCTGGATAATTTCTCGCACAGATGCACGACGCAAGCCGCCCTGTGCTCTTTGGTAAATTTGCTCCATTTCATCGAGCACGCGAACTTGAAGTAATCCGCGACTGCGACTCGTTTTGCAGCCTCTTTGGGTGGCAGCTGTATCAGGTCGTCGAGCGAAAGGTCCGGCATTACCATCGTCTCTTTCGATTTGCCAGCAGACTTCTCGTGGTCGTACCAATATTTTTCAAGACTCATCGACTCCTCGTATAACCCGAAATCAGCGAATAATTTCATGATCTTCAGGGCTATGGTCCGGTCCATCTCGTATCCATGTTTATCTAAGCACTCGATAACGACCAGAATGCCAGATGCTATTCTCAATTTAACATAATTTTCGTTATATTTGATGTTTTCCGGATTGAATCTCTGGCGAAAATCATCCACGGTGGGGGGGAAGACACTAGGCAGAGCAGCGCCGTTAGCCAATAGCGCATCGATCGCATCGGGCAGGAGACTCGTCAGAGCCAGTTGCAGCGGTGTCCGACCCAACTCGTCCAGGGCATCGATTTGCACCACCCAATCGAATTGTTTGTTGATCTCGAAGTATACCTTCGCGAAGCCGTCGTCTTGGTCTCTCATGCAAATGACGTGCAGAGGCGACGATCCTCCTGCCAAGGCGCCTCTTCTCAGCAGCGATTCCACCAAGTTTCTGTGGCCCCGAGACAGAGCCAAGTGCAGCGGCACGTTGCCCTTCGTGTCCCGGACGTTGATCAGCACCCGCTGACCGATTTCGTCGTTGACAGCGAAAAATCGTTCCGCCAAATCGTCGTCTTGGTCTCTCATGCAAATGAGGTGCAGAGGCGTCCTTCCATCATTATTGACCAAGTTCGGGTGGCCGCCTCTTCTCAGCAGCAATTCCGTCGAGTTTCTGCCGCAACACACAGCCACGTGCAACGGCGTGTAACCATCATCGTCGCGGGCGTTTATGTCCACCGCCTGATTCCTGCCGTCGATGATGTCGAAGAACAGCTCGACCCAATGATCGCCCTGGTAGCAAATGTGAGTCAAAGGCGTGCCCAAGGTCGGGTCGGCGCCTCGCCTCAGCAGCACCTCGGCCGGGCGGACGTGACCCCAATCCAGAGCCCGGACCAAGGGTGTCTCGCCGTTATTGTCCAGGGCGTCGATCAGCACCGGCCGACCGAGCTCGTCGTTGATCCCGAGAAATAGATTCAGCAAGGTCGGATCTTCGTACTTCTTGCAAATGTAATGCAACGGTGTCCTTCCCTTATTGTTGGTTGCGTTGGAATCGGCGCCGTGTCTCAGCAGCGCTTCGATCAAATTCGAGGTTCCTCTCTTCACCGCCAGGTGCAGCGGTGTGTTGCCTTGCTTGTTCCAGGCGTTAATCTGCAACGGCTTGTAATCGTCGTTACCGAATATCATGTCCGCCAAGCCATCGTTGTTGCCTTGGCCCATCTTGCACACGTGATGCAGAGCATTGTTTCCATCGTCGCCGTCAGCCAAGTTCGGATCGGCGCCCATTTCCAGCAAAAATCGCGCCGTTTCCGTGTGACAGTAGTTCAGCGCCACGTGCAGCGGTGTATTTTTGTACCTGTCGAGACGATCGACCTGCACCCGATATTTTTCGTCGCTGAGCTCGAACAACATCCTCGCCGATTCGACATCGTCGTTCTCGCAAGTGACGTGCAGAGGCGTCGTTCCCTTTCCGTCGACCGAGTTCGGATCGGCACCTGCTCTCAGCAGCAATTCAGCCACCTCTCTGTTTCGGCGCTGCATGGCCAAGTGCAGAGGCGAGTATTTATCTTTTGGCCAAATAAGATTGGGATCTTGACCGAGCTCGAGGAATTTCTTCACCACGTCCGTACGGCCGAACTTGCAGGCTACATGGAAATGCGTCAATCCAGATTTGTCGGTATAATTCACGTCAATTCCATCGTAAATGTCGAAAAGCCAATTTGCAACTACATGCCAACTGGTACCAAAGAAGAAAGAGCCACGTATACACAAGTGATGCAGTGGCGTCATACGTCTCAACGATTGCTTGCCGTTTTTACTTACTTTGGGCTTGACCTTGTAGCCGCTACGAGCCACGAATTCGATGAATGATTTTGACTCGTCGTATTTCATGTTTTTCGCGGCCTCCATGAGAAGCCAATCAATCTCTTTCGTCGGAAAAATGTCCGGAAGGTTGGGGAGTCGACCCTGCCAATCACTGATCAAGGGACGAAGTTTATCAAGAAATTTCTTTTTATTTTTTATTTTGGCCTTTTTACGTATACTCCTCAATTTCTTCCAACTGTCTTGGTCGTCCTGGGCCATTGTTCAACACACTAACACACATACAATCACAATCACAATCACTTATAATTCAAGATGTATTTTATAACCTGTTTAACGAAAAATCTGTTCACGCTGCGGCACCGTGGCGTATGTTCCGTAAAGCACAAATGACTATACACGTTGGTGAAGTGGACTTGCTATATTTAGTCACCCGAATACAATATGGACACGCCCATGTGCACGCTAGAGAGACAGAGACAGACATGCATGACGCAGCAAAGACGTCGCGATAGAGATACTTTCACCGATTATGGAATGGTTTTGAGGCAACTTTATTTTAAACACATGGTATGTTTCAAACGCGCTTCGCGCGCGTCCACTTTTTCAATAGGGCGTTTTCAGATTGTCACGAAGTGGTCACTTTACCGACCAGCTGATGTGCCTGGAGGAACAACAAACCGCGCGCCCCTATACTTCCCGTGTTAAATTAGCTTGTTAAAAGTACTTGTAATTAGTTTATAATCAAGTAAAAAAATAAACAAAAAATATCTGGAGAAAGCCGAAATCCTCGTGTATCGAAATATCGAAGCGGTTTTTAATTAAAGTCTTTAGTTTGTAAATAAAAAAATATTGAAATTTCGGCTTTTTTGTCTGTGATATTGTCAATAAACTCTAATAAAATAGTTATTAAAAGTGGTGTTTTAGGATGCAATACAAACTCTCAAGCAGGGAAATTTTTATTCTTTCAAATTACCAACGATAAACTTAAGAAAGAAGCGTATTTCCGAAAAATTATGAAAATCATCTCGCAATCGTCTTCCAACCCAAGTCTGCTGTTGGTGGAAAGATAATATTCTTAATTACGATTGTTTCTCAGTTTTTCGTTGATCATTTGAAAGAATAATAACTTCCCCGCTTGAGATTTTGTACTGCAACCCGAAAAAGCAAATTTAATAACCATTTTAATAGAGATTATTGACAATATCTCAGACAAAAAAACTGAAATTTCAATATTTTTTTATTTACAAACTATAGACTTTAACGCTTTAACGCCTGAAGTGACCATTTTTGGACAACATTTATAGCGATGAATTACACCGACTAAAAATTGTTTAAAAAA